ACGTAGTCTGCACCATCTAGAGGGGAACTGAAGATCTCGTTCCTTGTTAGTGACAAATTGCTATTCGATATGCTAATGGCATGTCCTAACTCGAGGTTGCTCAACCTCAATTTGATTGGGATAGGAAGGTGATGATCCACAAGTTGCCTAATGGAAGAACCGTTAGACTGCAAAAGAAGTTTAAAGCTCGCAGTCTAGTGGAGAACAATGGCTTCATGTGTGCATCCTCTTTCTATAACTACTATAAACAAAATCGCGAGGAGGGCATGTACCTAGTCTTTGTCTCTGAGAAAGGGGAGACCTTACACACCCCCAGAGATAAAAGCAGTCGTTACTCAATATCCAAACCTTTTTTAGGAGCCCAGTGGTGTGGTAGAGAGGGAGATTGTCCATGCAATAGAAGTCGTCCCCCGTAGCAAAGTACCTAGAGGACGGAGCTATAGGATGTCCCCTGCGGAGTTAGATAAGCTCCGCCGCCCTCAAAGAGCTCAAAGAGGAGGGATGGATTCGGCCTAGTACCTCCCTTTATGGCGCACCAGTCCTATTCGTTCCTAAGAAGGGGGGTACCTGAAGGATGTGCATTGACTATAGGGGCCTCAATGCCATCACCGTTAAGAACGTGGAGCCCCTACCCCACATCGATGACCTCTTGGATAGAGTGCAGGGATGCCGGTACTTCACCAAGATAGATATGAAGTCCGGATACCATCAAATTGCCATTATACCTGAGGACCAGCACAACCGCATTTCAGACCAGGTACAATCTGTGCGAGTTTGTGGTGATGCCCTTTGGTTTATGCAATGCTCCTGGGACATTCCAGCACGCAATGAACTAGATCTTTCATGAGTACTTAGACAAGTTATTGGTGTACCTCGACGATATCCTTATCTTTAGTAAGACTGTAGAGGAGCACGTTGAGCATGTGAAAACAGTGTTAGGTCTTTTAAGACAACACCAGTACAAGGTTAACTTGGTGAAATGCGGAGTTGGTCGCACCAAGATCTTGTATCTGGGTCACAAAATTTTCGCGGACGGTTTGAGGCCAGATGATGCCAAGGTGGCCAGCATACGCGACTGGCCCAGACCTCAGTCTGTGACTTACGTGATGTCATTCTTGGGGATGGCAGGCTACTACAGGCCGTTTGTGAAGAATTATAGCACTATAGCCTCCCCATTAACTGACCTCACATGCCTTGACACCCCTTGGGAGTGGACAGAAGAGTGTGAGGCAGCCTTCAAGAAATTGAAGTATGCCCTGATGCACTACAAAGTCCTTAAACTGCCTGATTATGAGCAACCCTTTGTGGTGACCACTGACGCTAGCCAACACGGAACTGGCGCAGTCCTTGCGCAGAAGGAAGGAGATGTTGGGGCCCATCGAGTACATGAGCAAAAAGATGCCATCTCAAAAATTAGCAAAGTCCACGTATGAGCGGGAACTCTATGCCTCTATAGAGCGATAGTCCACTGGAGACACTATCTCCTAGGCAGATTTTCTAGTCCGTGCGCAGAAGGAGGGGAAGAAGTTGGGGCCCATCGAGTACATGAGCAAAAA